CAGGACTCTGCTGTGAAGGTGGAGACATGTGGCGGTGGTGTACTTGCGACAGTTAAAAAAAAAAAAAAAAAGAAAGAAAAGAAATTTGAAGGAGCGGCGGCTAGAATTTAGGAATGGCGGGCCGCCGCTGCTAAATGAATGTAGAGGAAACACTGGTAAATGACTCTGTGGCTAATGTGTTGGTGCCTGACACTAGAGGACACCTCCCAAGGTCTGTGGATTCCAGGCCTTGGTGGGTCAGAGCTGTTAAGCCAGGAGGAAGGGGATCTGCAATATCAGGCAGGTGGTTTTAATTTGATCAGAGAAGTCCTCTTCAAAATCTTCAAAAAGTTAGACCATGAAGCATTATACTTTTCCAGTTAGGTAACCACCTTTATTTCCCTGACTGACTTACCTTGCTCCTCCGTGTGCTGATTATTAATGAGCACACGACTGTGATTAATATTAATGATTATCAGCTTGTCAGTCACCTGTAAAGCACTTTGCAAATTCTATGGCAAAGCCGGGCTGTCAAGGCTCAGATATCCCCAAAGTCATGAGGAGTCATGACTGTACATTAGTTCTGTTTCCTGACAGTGAGAAGCTGATGGACTGGCTCAGCTGCACGATTAGAGACTGAACATGTTTCAGTCACACCACGGATGTCACGACCATCACTGCTAATTCTCAGACACACACTGAAGCCCATGTGCTGTCTGACTAATGAATATTAACGACCAGCTGGTTCATGTGCAACTCATTGATTGGTGGAAATGGAGACGTTACAACTCTTCTCTTGCGCACACAGGTGCTTTTGTTGTGCAGCTGTATGTAACGTTAGTGTATGAGAGAGCGTGCCCGTGTGTCGGTGAGTGCGCGCACAGGCGGGGGCGCGCGCGGTCACAGGCTATATGAGATGTGCTCCAGCGCGAGGTGACAGAGAGCCGAGAGCGCGAGGAGCCGCCGTGTCGCAGCGGGAGGCGGGATGCTGTCCGCCTTCTGAGCCTCCGGACCGACACTGGACTAATACCGGGCTACAGTAACAGTAACACAGACACGCGCCGACGCCGTGGAGATACCGGGGGACGATGGGCTCTGCTTCGTCCTCCTACCGGGTCATCTACCTGGACGTGGACGGCAGGATTCAGAAGGTGGGACAGCTCAGAGAACAGCTCCTCCACAAGTCTTTAAACGAAAAACAGACAAACTACTTAAAAGTTGAGGAACTCCAAAGTAGCCATTAGTGAATGAATGTAAGGAGCTGGAGTGAATGTGGCTGGTTGAAGGCTGAGGAGGTGGAAACCTGAAAATGGCTTTAAAATAACATTTCTGAAAAAAGGACATCAATGAACAAAAGAACAGGGCTACTCACAGCCGTAAAATATTTGTTTAGCTAGTTCCGCTATTGGTTTTGTGATTCATTATGAATCAGTTACTTAGCCATGCTCATTGTGGAGTTGAGCAGTATCTGTCAGTGAAGGAGAGCTCATCTGATCTCCTATCCTGTCCAGAGGCAGGACAGGACTGTGTTGCTTCAGTAGACAGCAAAACAGAAGTAGCATAAAGACACAAATACAAAGTACCACAGACTGAAGATGGATTACTGTCAAATACTGTAAAATGTTCATAAATTGCACAAAATTGTGCAAATTCATATATGGTTTTTATTTCAGCAGCAGTAGTTTGTCATGAATTCTGGACCAGCTGGGTGCAACTAACAGAGAACTTTGTTTCTTGCCCTTTGGTTGTTAAGAACTTTATACAAACATTACGATGGTGTTTTTTAAAATTATCTGTAATTTTGAAAGGTGGTGCACCAGACAAAACAAGGTCTTTGTTTATTACTGACTGCAATTTACAGTAAACTAAGTCAATTTTACACAAAGGTGAGTCCAAGCCCTGTGTCTGTTCTTTAGAGTAAACACGATGATACAGACCAGTTTATTTGCTGAAAATAGTATGCATAAGTAGAGGAACCATGAAAGATTCAAGGAACTTTATTTTATTTGTCATGCCAGCTCACATTCACATGTTAGTGGTATGAAATTTGTACTCATGTCCCGTTTTTTTTAAGGAATAAAAGCCAATAAATAAGTACAATAAAACAAGAGCAAAACATGAAAACAAGACAAAAAAAAAAAGGAACCATCACCTTTTCCTATAATCTTGCTATTAGGGAGTGTTTTCATCTGCTGTGTGAATATCTTAGATACACGAAGAATTAGAGTGCAGAGTATGTGGACTGATGGCTACTTGCAGTCTGTACAGGCAGAATAATGTGAAAGGTTTGTTTGGATGTTAGGTTGGTTCTGCTCCACTGGTCCCTCTGAAGAGTGCAGCCCAGTGAGGTTGAAGAATAACCCAAGCACTGACCTCTAAATACACTCTACTTCGCACACAAGTCTGTATTAAACACACATTCATTTCCCATTTCAATTAAAAGATCTAGGGAATATAACTACTGGAGAATTGACCAGCATGATTGCTACTCCACATATTTTAGCACTGAGTTTTGTAAACAATCATACAAATATAAAAGGAAACACATGTACATGTTGCAGGAAGACTGCAAACTAAAGTCCACCAATGAGCTGACAACAGTATTGTGTGACACCCAAACCAAAGTAAACGGTGAATTTTGCTCGATGTTAGATCCATAGTGTTTATAAAAATGACTTGACCTACTTTTCTGTAGTCAAGACAACTTAACTTATAATGGGCTCTTTTTTTAACTTAGAAGTTAAATATTAAGTTAATACATGTAGCCATTTGCAGACATCTCGTCTTTAAATATTTTATTATAGTGGGGCAACATTATCCAGAACTCCAACAAAACTAAGGCTGTAATGTCCACACACAAATGTAAAACCTACTTGTTTCACTGCTAAGGTGTCATTATTATTCACAGACAATCAAGGGCAGTGTAAATGTCCATTGATTTGTCCCATAAATGCTAATGCTGAAAGTTTTCACTCTCAGTTCCTACACTGGAATGCAGCGTTTTGTTTACATTGTCCAACCAATGAAGGAGAAGCAGCAGCTCATAAAAGGCCATATAGTACTGTTTACACCCCAGTGGCACCTTGCATTTATTGCATTGTGTCTTCTTTATGGAGTTCACACCAAGTCTGTATCTGTCTGCTACACAAAACACTTGTCATTTCCTCATGCAGACATTTTCCAAGGTGGTAAATATGCAACTGGGGGGGCGGGGGGTTGCCCGTGGTTAATACAACCTAGTGTGTTTAATGCATCAGGAAGGGGCATACAAAGACTACTGAAGGAATATGTACAGATTAAAAGTCCTTTTATGTTAAGCTCTGCCAGCAACAACAAAAAAGGTGCCAGTTTTCATTCTGTTTTTTATGGTTGTATATTGGATTGTCCTGGTGTTGGCATGTGTTCCCTGCAGCGTATATATATCTGATGCCTTACCATAGGCCATGTTTTCTGTGTTGACTCTCAATAATGCTGAGCTGTTGGTCACATTTGTTAGGCTGGAAATGCATCCTATAGATGAATCCCCTTCCAAGTTTTGTAACAGACATTACTGCTTAGATTTTGATTTAGTTTGTAAAATTAGATTTGAATGAGTTGAGGAAAATATCTAGTTGTGATTTTTTCTGACAGATATTGTGATTTTGGTTTGATTTGCTTGTTGTTGTTGTTTTACTGTCAAGCTTCACTTCTGCTTACTTTAATACATTTTAAATGTAAAGGACATTACCACATGAGATGAGTGTCACACAAGGCTTGAGTAAAACCACATGACTGTTTAAAGCCTGTCTCAGACTTACTGCATAACATATTTTAAATTGCAGACTATGTTCTTGCTAATTGTATTGTTTCAAATTTCAATTTTGATTTGAAATTGGTTAATTGTTTAACTTCATGTTTAATTGTTCAGCCCTAATCTAAAGAGCTTAAAACTTGTGCACAACACACAAACATTAATACAAAAGTGCTTATGTACAGTTAAAGTCATGTTTTGTTGCAACCAGAGAACAGCTTGTATTACAAAGCCATGTTATCACTACGTCGTGAGTTCTGCTATGCCCTGAAATTGTAGTTTGTTGAGTCAAATTTTTATTGAGACAGTACATTTGGTTTCCATGGTTAGTCTTAAATATGGCATCTTATTTATTTGCATAATAGTGGATGAGGCTAGTTTATGGCATGGGATCATGATCCTCAGTGTGTACGCAGCAGCAGTAGCAGCAGCATGTGGCTGAATATGCAAGACTACAGTTTGTTATTGAAATCATTCTCATCATCTTTAAAGTGGAACATGAATTTGTTTGGCACTGCCTAGCACTGTGTAGAATAAAAAAAAAAATGAAAAAACTCATTCTGCTCATCAGATTTGTTTAGGCTGTCAAACAGTGGAGTCAAAGTGCTGCTATACTGGCAAAAAAACAACTTAACTTTCTCACAGTAAGGTCTATACCTTACTTTGTTAAGTGCTGTGTAATAATGTGTTGTAAATTGCGCTATACAAATAAAATTGAAAAAAATATTGAAATTGACAGTAGTAAGAGTACTGCATTGTTGTGACTGTTCGCTTTGCTTCTCGTCTCTGGCTCTATTTAAGGCAAACTATTTTCGTTAATTTAAAAAAACAGATGATGAGTATTTTATCTCATCTCTAGGTTGTTTTATCAGTAAAGTTGAGCAGTTAATAATGAGTGATCATCAATGTATGTGCTTTGATGTAGGACAGCACAGACAGACTGAACTGATGAAACCAGCAGCACAGTCAAAACACTCAATAAATCACTTGCAGAAAAAGGAAATAGATACAAACTGCATATGTTTAACACAAGGACTGGGCATGAACCACAAAGATAAAGGTTTATGTGTATGAGATAAAGGATGTTGATATCTGATAAATACAGAAGATTAATTAGCAAATATTCTAACAATTGATAATTTAACTTTTTTTTTTTGTCAAATAAAAATACCAAACTGTAGGGGTGGTGTTGGTGAAGTGCTCCTCCCTGTCCACTGACCTCCACCAGCCTCTGTCTCTTCCATCTGTGACAAGCTGCCATTTCCAGACAGCTCAGGTGCTCTTTAACCTCTGTCTTCCTCTCAAAGTATTCCTTGTTTTGCACTCCTTGTAATACTTGTTACACCTGCCCTTCACCCTCCTACCTCCACACATCATCTTTTGCTGGGACTTCACTGTTTGCAGTCTTCCGTGTCATCACATGCAAATGCCTCTTTTATCTATGTGGGTCATCCCTCCGTGTGTGACACAAATCACTTGTCATGTTCAGTGACAGTGCTTGACCTTCCTCATAAAACAATAGGAGAAGGGACGAAAACCATTAAATATTTACTGCTGCTACGCTGCAACATGCACATTTGTTAATCATAGGAAGAGCCTGGAGCATGGGAAGCCTGCACATTCAGACTGTAGAGATTCTCTCCAGTGGCTGATTGCTCTGCTTTCTCATTAGTGTAGTCAGAGGGGGAAGAAAAACAAAATATCCTGCTGTAGTTTAATTAGAAATACAAAAGTAGAAATAGAAAAAAAAGTAGCTGATTTTAAACATATGCTTTCTCCAGATTAAGTTTTCCTTCATTTATTCTTCTTCTACGAGATCTATCTGGTGCAGTGGAACGAGACGGTAAATGTCCTGCATTGTTTTGCAACTTCTGCACATATTTGCATGCCGTAAAAGTTAATGAATGTATCAAATTAGAGTGACAAACTTTGCTCCTCTTTCTTATTACCATTATTGGATTAAAAAATTTTAAATTTGGCTTTAGGGTAGTGCTGAGACAAGACCATTTTAAACCACTCTATAGTAGCTTTTGAGTACAGTGCTGTCAAACCTTTCATACCTTTCATTGCTGGATGCCACTTATTCCTCTTTGCCATCGTGAGCTCCGCTGTTTCACTGACTAACATGATCATTCATTATCACAAACACATGCATTGTGTTTAACTGAGACCCAGTTCCATGTACATGAGCATGCCCTTTCCTCCTACATGAGCAACACTTGCCCCAAAGCCAGTGGCCAGCTGCTATACAGAGTTACAGAGGCATAAAAAAAAATTCTTAATTTATGTGATGCATGTTTGCAAATGTGTCTCTAAGTATGTCTTCGCTGTGCAACCTGTAAAAGTTCTGCAATAGAATAA